AACACCTGCCACTCAACTTCTCACTGTCAAATCTCAGCTAAGAGAAGATTCTGGTTGGAGTCTCATTAGTTTCCAGAGTAGCTCAATCTGTCTTCAGAGCTCCAGAACAGAAATCCAAAGAAACACCCCTAGCCTAAAGAAAGATCCAATGAATAAAGGGGTCTCAAATCATCATACGCATGAAAGGAACTACCAAAAGTTATTCACCGTTCCTCTCCTTCCTCAAAATAGGGCAACAAATGACCTTAAATGCATCAAGCACCAAAAGGGAGTAAGAGAAACTAACAGTCCCTACTCTCAAACATGATTTGTTCCTGAAAACAAGTGTGCAATTCAAGAGAGCAAAAGCCAGATAATAGACCAATATCTAAAAGGGGACATCCCCTTCCCAGAGGTAAAATGTGATTGCTCAAAATGTTCTCTAGTATCTTTAGCACATGAAAGTCTAAATCCAGTATAAAGAAAGGAATTTAGGAGTATCAATGGCTAAGATATAACAGACAAATTATATTAGAATCAAGTAGAGCCATTATCAAAAAGTCAAGGGCTATTTCCAAAGCCATCCAGAAAGAAACATTACAGAAATCTAAACAGCAGAGCTGTATTCCTAGAGATTTTTTTTTTAATTTTTGTTTTCTCTTTGCAAAATGAATACATAATCATTGCAGAACCCAAAGATATGGGTTATAAAACAGGGAATCCTAAAGAAGAAACCAAAAGTTACTGTTAAGCAATCACCCATAGAGGATCATTGTTAATTTCTTGGTACGTGCCCTTCTGATGCTATTTATCTAAATATGAAATATTATATAAAAACAATAGTTTACATAATGATTTATAGTCTTCTATTGTGACATATCAGAGTATTCTAAATGTGTTCCCTTTTCTGCAGCTGTTATATTAATGGCATGATTTTTTAATTTTTTTTAATATTTTAAAGAGAGAGAGGAATAATATTTTTTAATATTTATTTATTTATTTTTTTTAGTTTTCAGCAAACACACAACATCTTTGTTTGTTTGTGGTACTGAGGATCAAACCCGGGCCGCACGCATGCCAGGCAAGCGCGCTACCGCTTGAGCCACATCCCCAGCCTCATGGCATGATTTTTTAATGACAACAGAATTCTATCAGTGTTCCTTTCTTAACTAACCAGTTTGCTTCTAACTTTTTATTTTGATAATTAGCCCTAAAATGAACAGTCTTTAATAATACACCTTTTTGACCTATTTGTGGTTATTACCATTGCAATTTTTTTAATGTGGATAATTCTTACTCATTCAGTGTATGTTTGTTGAAGACCAGTGTGATGGATACTTGGAACATACTTTCTTTCCTTCATAGAGCTTAAAATTAAATAGGAAAGAGAGAAAAATCTCACATTATAGCTTTAAAAAAAAGTCTTATCACATCTACATGAGCTTTGCCCCCACTTCTGCCTAGCACTGAGCACCATTTTCAGTATGTGAATGGGTTTCTTAAATTAGTAGGTAACAAATACCGGAAATCTGTCCAAGTCAGTACACATAGATCTCACTCTTTTTAATGGCTTCTTTATATGTTATAGAATTACAAAATCCTAGTTTACCAGATTATTTTCCTATTAATGAACATTTAGGTCATTTTTTTCTGTTATTGTAAGTAACATTTCCATTGAACATGTAGCTTTTATGCATGAGTGGAATTTCTGGATCAATGAATATGCACATTTAAATTTCAATCAAGATATTAGCTTCAGTTATCATCAAAAAAAGATTACTCCACTTTACATTCCCACCATCAGTACATAAGAGGACTTGCTTTTACACCAGCTTCATCAGTACTGGATTCATTTCATGTTGCATTTATTTATTTAGTTATTATTAACCTAAAGGAATAAGAAAGAGTAAAAAGAGTATTTTGTTGTACTTTCAACTTGCATTTCTTCAGTATTGAATGAATCTTTTTATAGGTTCTTTTATATTTATTCTTTTGTGAGTGACTTGCCCTTATTTTTTGCCCGTTTTTTAACTGGGTTGCCTGTTTCTTTCAGATTTGTGAGAGTTTATGAAGAAATAAGGAAGATTAGTAATCCTTACATACATTGCAAATATTTTCCATTCCATCTTTTTTATTCCTAATTAATCAGTGTTTCAAGGGCATTATTGGGTTTACTGAAGAATTAATCTGAAAACACAGGGAACTCCTTTTTACTCTCCCTAACCCACTCCACTCCCCTCTTACACAGTTTTTCCTATTAATTACATCATGAATTAATGTGGTATATTTTATATAATTGATCATCCAATATTAATATATTATTATTATTAAAGTCTGTGGTTAAATCTTGCTGGTGTGTATTCTATGAGTCTTGACAAATGTATGATGACCCATATCCACCATTACAATAGCAAACAGAATACTTTCACTGGCCTAAATATTCTCTATGTTCTGACTATTCATTCTTCTGTCTTCCCTCCCCCCCCCAAAAAAAAACCCTGACAACCACTAATCTTGTGACTGTCCCCATAATTTTGATTTTTTTTCAGAATGTCATATAGTCTGAATCATGCAGTATGTAATCCTTTCAGACTAGCTTCTTTCACTTAGCAATATACTTTTAAGATTCCTCCATGTTTTTTCACAGTTTGATAGCTTGTTTCTTTTTAGCATCTAGGACCAATCCATTGAACCTAATAATATTTCATTACCTGGATATTCCACATTTTGTTTATCCATTCACCGACTGAAGGCTATGGTGGTTGCTCCCAAGTTAGGACAATTATGAATAAAAGCTGCTGTAATCATTTATGTGCAAGTTTTTGTGTGGTCAGAAGTTTTCAACTCATTTGGATACATACCTAGGACTACAACTTTGGATTGTATGGATGGCAAGAGTGTGTTTAGTTTTGCAAGAAACTGCCAAACCATCTTCCAAACGGACTGTCCCATTTTACACTCCCATCAGCAATGAATGAGAGTTCCTGTTGCTCCACATCCTCACCAGCATTTGGTGTTGTCAGTGTTTTGAACTTTGGCCATTCTAACCGATACCTCATTGTTATTCGTAATTTGTAATTCCCAAGTGACATACAACGTGAGGATTTGGGTATCTGCAAATTTCAAATGCTTACCTGGCATCTGCAGATCTTTTCTAGTGAAGTTCATTTTTTAGTTGCTTTTATTGTTGATTTTTAAGAGTTCTTTGTGTATCTTGATACCAGTCTTATATCAGTTATGAATTTTACGAATTTTTTTTCTGGGTGTATGGCACATCTCTCCATTCTCTTTTACTATTTTTAAGAATTTTTTTTCATATAAGTTCTTTAATTTTTACCTGATCAAACCTTCTCTCAGAGCTGCTCTGAGTTTTGTCTCCGACTTAGTAAAAAATCTCCTCCTCCTGAAAATATTCTCATATTTTCTTCTGTCATTTTGTATCTTTGTTTTACATTGACATCTATAAGTTGTCTGGAATTGTGTGTATTTGTGTGTGTGTAGTGTAAGATTAGAATCTAAGAATCTAAGTTTTCTTTTTCCAAGTGATTTCCTAATGATTCTTACTAAATAGCCCATGTTAACCATAGCAACCTACAGAATGGGAGAAAAATATTTGCAAAATACACCTGATAAAGGGTTAATATACTGTATAAGGAACTCACACAAATCACCAACAATAAATAAATAAGCAAGTAAGCCAAGGACCCGAACAGGCAATTTTAACAACAACAAAAAAGTCATATAAATGGCCAGCAGATATATTTAGAATGCTCAGAATCAGTGACACGAATTGGTGTCAACATACTTTATATACAACCAGAGATATGAAAAAATGTGCTTATATGTGTAATGAGAGTTGTAATGCATCCTGCTGTCATTTATTTTTTAAAATATCAATTTAAAAATTAATAAATTTTTTAAAATAAAATGCTCAGAATCACTAATCATCAGGGGAATGGAAATCAAAACCACAATAAACTATCAACTCATACCTACTAGAACGACTGTCATTGAAAAGACAAAAACTAAGAAGATATTGAGGGTGTGGAAGTTGGGAACAAGCATAAACCTTTCCCATACTCTCTTATCAAGACGCCTCTTGGTTCCTTTCTCTCCCTGTTGGGAGTAAACTAAATAAATGTCTTTTTTAAACTACACTAAATTCCAGCAGCCTTTTATTTCGGAAATCAACATTTTTTAAATTTCTATTTATTTATTCTAATTTGTTATATATGACAGAAAATGTATTTCAATTCATAGTACACATATAGAGCAAAATTTTTCATGTCTCTGGTTGTGCACAAAGTAGAGTCACACCATTCATGTCTTCATACATGTACTTGGGGTAATGATGTCCGTCTCATTTCTCTGTCTTTCCTACCCCTCTGCCCCCTCCCTTCACCTCCTTCCCCTTTACCTATCTAAAGTTCCTCCATTCCTCCCATGCCCCCCCTCCATCCCCATTATGGATCAGCATCCTCATATCAGAGAAAACATTCTGCATTTGGTTTTTTGGGATTGGCTTACTTCACTTAGCATAATATTCTCCAATTCCATCCATTTATTTTCTTTTATGGCTGAATAATATTCCATTGTGTGTATATACCACAGTTTCTTTATCCATTCATCTACTGAAGGGCATCTAGGTTGGTTTCACAATTTAGCTATTGTGAATTGTGCTGTTATAGACATTGATGTGGCTGTGTCCCATGTGTACGCTGTATAAACCAAGGAGTGGGATAGGTGGGTCAAATGGTGGTTCCATTCTAAGTTTTCAAGGATTCTCCATACTGCTTTTCATATTGGTTGCACCAATTTTCAGTCCCACCATCAGTGTATGAGTGTGCCTTTCCCCCACATCCTCACCAACACTTATTGTTGTCTTCTTAATAGAGTGAGTGAGATGGAATATGATAGTTTTGATTTGCATTTCTCTAATTGCTAGAGATGTTGAGCATTTTTTCTTATATTTGTTGATTGGTTGTATATCTTCTTCTGAGAAGTGTCTGTTCAGTTCCTTGGCCCATTTATGATTGGGTTTTTGGGTTTTTTTTTTTTTTGATGTTAAGAGGAAATCAACATTTTTCTCTGTTCTCTCTTCCATTTTTCTCTGTTCAGCTTCCATAAAGTATTTATGTTCCCTTGGTTTTGTCATCTTTTTTTTTTTTTTTTTTGGACTGCATCCTCTCTTGGGGCCCTCATCCAGCTCCAACTGTACTACCATTATCTGGCCAACTGGACATTCCCACTTTAGTCTTCTGCAGGTCCCCTGTCTCTACCTCATCTTTAAAAAATCAGTGGACTCATTCTCTTTCCTTTTTCCCCTGTCCATCTCTCCATCCTGTATTCCTGCTGCCCTCTCATCTCCTAAGCCAGGTCTGAGCATATCGTCTACACACTTCCTTCCCTGATCCTCTCCCTCCAGCAACTCACTGAGGGTGTTCTACTCCACCTCCTCAACCTTCTTCCCACTTAGCAGGTCCCTTTGCTTTATCCCATTGCAGCTTAAACTCCACACGGCTTCCAGAGCATCTCTTCTAGAACATAAGGAGAAAACTTACAGCACTTGCTTATTGAAAACCCTTCCATGACTCTCCCATCACTTAGAAGATAAATTCCAAGCCCCATCAACAGGCACCTAGAGTCTAGCCCCATCTAATGCCCCCCACCCTGCATCCAGCTGGATGCAAGAGCAGCCAAGCCATTTGCCCTCCCAGCATACTCCATGCCACCTTGCACCTCCACACTTTCCCCATTGCTTCTCTTTTTGACTGGAAGACCCTTGGAAGACCCTGACACCTTCTCCCATGCTTCAACAGTGCTGCCTCGGTGCCTCTGTCGTCGGCTTCCTGTGGGTTATCAGTGGCACTTATGCATGCTCTAGTATGGCTCTCGTCACACAGTATTGTGGTTTGTTGTGTGTCTTTTGTCTCTCCTTGTGGAAGAACCGCTGGATGTATGGACCCACTGCATGTTCATACTTGAATTTGAAATGCTGCTCTCCATAGGTTTTCAACAAATACTTAACCCCCAAGTTTCTATCTAGATCACTGCTAACCGGAGGAAATATAACACGAGGCCCATAGAATTTTAACATTGAAATTTTAGTGGGCATATTAAAAGCATTAAAAGAAACATGAAATTAGTTTAATAGAATATTTCCTTTAACCCAGTATATCTCAAACTATTGTCTTTTCAATGGTACAAAAAAAACACATTTATTTCTCTTTTACTTAATACAAGTCTTCAGAGTTTGGAGAGTGTTTTGTACTCACAGAACATCTCAACTGAGAGCATCCCCATTGCAAGTAGCCGCAAGTGGCTTGTGGCTTTCAGATTATACCATGTGGGTCTTGGCAGCAGTTGCTTAGGAACTCCATTTTCTTACTTTATAAAACAAGAAGGTCTCCAAAATCTGTAATCTCATATCCCCTCCAGTTCTAAAGCAAGGGCTCTGGTATTTCGAGATGAACCTGAGAATTTGCTAAGGAGGGAAGAGTGTCCCTCCAGCAGCTGGCCAGCCACCCCAGCCAATTCCTTCCATTTGCCTGCCCCATGTGCACACAGGTAGGAAGCCCTCATACACATGATCCAGCCACAGAAATCCTGTAGGCAGACTTGAAGACTCAGTAGCCACTTCCTTACTAAGAATAATGAAGAAACTAAACACTTAGTTATTTCTTTTAACTTTTTATGTCAAAATAATTTCAGACTTCCAAGAGGTTACAAAAGATAGAACAAGGAATAGCTGTCTGCCCTTCACCTAGATTAAGCATTTTATCACAATCATTTTATTTTATGTCCCTGCCACTCCTCCCTTCCCCCACCGGACACACATTCACATGCACCACTTACTTTAAGGACAAAAAGATGTGATTTTTTTTTTCCTCCTGAGGTCTGAAATTTGAGTTGCGATACACACTACCCCCTTGTCTCTAAATACTTCACTGTTGTCTAAGATCAATGACATTCTTACATAATCCTCATAGAATTGTCAGAATTTTCAAATAACATTACTGCAATATAGATCTGACTCTCCCATCATTCAAATTCTGCACACGGTCACACCAGTGCCCTAGGTCTGGTCCAAGATTCAATCCAGGTGCCCACCTTGCAACTAGTTGTCCATCTCCTCAGACCTCTCCAATCTGGGACAGTTCCTCAGCCTTTTCTTTTCAGGCCACCACCTTTGAAAAGTACAAGCCTGTAACTTTGTAGAATCTCTGCCGACTTGCGTTTGTCTGCCGTTTCCTCAGGCTTTTCAGGTTGTACATTTGGGCTGGGGCCACAGGAACCACATTGTGCCCTCCCCGGTGCATCGCATCAGGAGGCCCCCGACACTGAGCCGTCCTTCCACCTCTCCTGTGAAAGGAGAAATGACTGTGAGGACTCCGTTGGAGTCAGGCTGCAGACTGAGCCCCTGGAAATGGCCTATTTTCACCCTTGTAATTAATTAGTGAGTCCCCTGAGACTGTAAAAAATACCCTTTCTCATCCTAATGTTTTCCCACTAATGGCCATTCTTGACAATTCTTACCCCATTCAATTATGACTATGCTATTTGCCAAATGGTGATTTTTTTCCCAATTCTATTATTGATTCTATATTTATTACCTAGCATCCTACTGTAATTTAACAAGAGTGGTCTCTTCTTCTCTCTTTATTTATTTATTTATATCAGTGTGGATGTGTCCTACTCCATGGGTTATGATTCATTACCCTTGTTATTGTTTGGGGGAACATAAAAACCAGTTAAATTTTCCTGCTTCTGAATTTTAGAAACTACCAACTTGGAAGCATAAGGGTAACTGAGAAGGTGAAGGAACTTGTTTGTTATTTTTTCATTATATCTATAAAACTTGAGTGAAAAATATGAACACATTGATTTTAAAAGCTTATTATGAAGGGGAATTATTTTAAACATGTATTCGCTATTTAATTTTTTAAGTATGTCTTAAATATGGTATGCAGATTCTGCCTCAGTAAATGATATTGCTATTATGCACTTTTTAAATTTTTTAAAAGAGCGATTGATTTAACCAAAGGAATAACAGGGCAGCAAATATCTTGCTTGACAGAATTGCTAGCTCATGCAGCCTCAGTCTCACAAAAAAGGTAATTCACCTGACTCTTTTGTCCCCGAGGTACCTGTGGGGGGTTCTCTGTACATATATACACATTTTTTTCTTTCCCTACAGAAAATAGATAGCAAATGGACACGACTGTGAGCAAGGCTGAGTGGCTGCGTGGCCTAATGCTAGCCTGGGCTCTCGGTAGCCTAATTAAAGTAAAATGGTTCTGCTTTCTATGAAGAAAGAAGCAGAATAAGAGGAGAGAAACACAGGAAGGGAAGCCGGAGCACTAAGAGCTTCCCTTTTCCTATGGAACTAAATGCCAAGCTCGCTTCAGACTATTAGTTATGAACTCATACGGCAAATCAATGTAAATAGCTGGACAACTTCCAGGGCCCTCGATTTATTGTACAAATTCTATTAATGCAGCCCCTAATAAACCAGAGATGTGCAAAGAAATACCACAGATGGAATAAAAGGGGAGATACTTAGAGCTAAATCTCAGTCTCATTCCCCGACCACAGATGCCACCATCAGCAACACACTGCCAAACCCAGTTCCCCACCAGGGTGAAATATATGGGCAGGTGGTACAATGAGCGGTTCCAGTGGAGAACTCCAACAGAAGCAAAATCCTCAAGTATGTACACATTAGGCCAATTCTAGGAGAAAAGTCAAGCAAAGAAGTCAGGCAGGTCAGGACGAAATCTAGACCATCTGAGCTTTGGCATTCCTGGACATTAACCCCAGCCCATCTTCCCGTACAGCCTAGTACATGCTGTGAACAATTGGTTCAGCCATTTTTATTTAACTGGCTCACCCAGCAAGGTAGGCAGGCAAATGTCACAGAAAGAACTCCATTTTAACAATTTGTATTATATGTTCAGCAACCCAGACCAAAAAAAAAAAAAAAAACCAACAACTAGGCCTCAATTTAAAGATTTCCACGTAATTTTTATTTATTCCACATAAAGGATTTAAAAACATGGGCAAAAAATTTCATGAAGCCTTGTCCTGATGTTCCTCTTGCTTTTACTGTTCTATAAGACTGCAGGTAAATTGATTTATTCAGATAACCCTCAATGGAGGAAAAGCAGGCAGTAAGGAGAAAAACCACAAGTATGCCAAAGAAATACTGTCATTTAAGCAGCAAACAAAGTATTTTGATAATTTATATAGTTTTTTAACTCACACCAGAAAGGATTCAAAAACATCTTACACAAATATAGCATAATTTAAAACAACAGTAATAAAGGTTTATCTAGTGCCCCTCCCCTGTGCTTGGCATAAATCCAACTCTTACCTGGAATTCTGACAGTAACTCTGGAGTAAGGACCATCACTATTCCCCATTTGGCAGCTGGAAGAATTTAAAGCTAACTAGCTCAAGGTTACATAGCTGGCAAATGGCATGGCAAGGAGAGAAAGAAAAGAGCTGTCAAGAAGTGGGAAAGTGGGCTGGGGATATAGCTCAGTTGGTAGAGTGCAAGGTTGTGGGTTCAATCCCCAGACCACTAAAAAAAAAAAAAAAAAGTGGGAAACTAAGGGTGGAACAGCCACCAGGAACTGAGGTGAGGGGGAGAGACCAGTGCCCAAACACCAGTCCTTATGTATCAAATGCACTTCATGAGACTGGATTATCAAGTCAGCCTTTGCCTTGGGCTTTTCAAATCAGGAGAGGAAAGTAGCATTACAAAGTAGATAGCATCGAATAGCAAAGTAGATAGCATCAAATGGCACAGGCATGTCTGAGTGGCAAGCAGAACAGCACATGTGCAGGAGAGACCCAGGGCGGGGCTGTACTCATTTTATTACAACCTTCTCTTATGGTAACCAATATAACCTCCAACGAGCAAGAGCTCAGCTTCTGCAAGGAAAACACTAATTACTCTTAAAGACCCCAACACTTCCAGGTGCTGTTATATTGGAGACCAAGCCTCAGTATGAGTCTTGGTGGGAATAAACCACAGCAACTGATTCCTGCCAGAGATCAGAACTTAGGTCTTAGTGCCAATACATCATAAGCCATTTTTCCATAGAGAAGTAAATATTCATTTGTTGAGGTCAGTTCTCGATTGTGGCTTGAAACCACAGTCATATGAAATACAGAGGATACTTATTTTCTATTATCTAGATCACAGCAGGGGACAACTACAACTGATTATTGAACAATTAGTTGGTTTTGTTTTCAGAAGTATTGATCTTACTTTTCTAGTTCTACCTCAAAGCAATAAAAAGGTGAACTAGATGCAGATTCTGGCAAACTGAAGTTGGACTCAAGGAAATAGTCAAACTTCTATTTCAGACTTTAGGAATTTTTTTTTTTTCTGTCACAGAGCAACAGGGCTATATCTGTTTGTGTAATATGTGGCATCCCTGGGGAAAATGTGCTGCCTCCAAAATACAGGCTTTAGCATCCAATCAAATATAGGGTGAACTGGGAATCCTTATTGGTTTCCATTCCCATTTTGAAAACTACGTTTAAATGCACAATTCATTTCCTTTCATAGGCAGAATGAAATGACCATAACACAACCCTATAGTGGGATACAAATTGCTTCCTGTTCTCTGGATTTAAATCAAGTGTTCTAACTGTGGGAATTCCAACTAAAAACATTCTCCCAATTTTCACAAGCTTCACTTCATGAAAAGATTTTTGTTAAAAGGAGATTCTATGGAGTCTATCAGCTATCAGAGCAGAACAACAACCATTCTCTTTTTTTCTTCAGAAACAAAATTTGGATTTGGGGATGGTCCACTCTAAATTATAGTGATTCCCCACCAAGAAAATCATATGGCTAACTGCTGACAAGTAAAAACAAAACAAAACAAAACAAAACCTTAGTGAGGTTTCTAGGAATTCTCCCTAGAAGAGAGAGAAAGGGTCTTCTTTTCCCTTTCTCCCATCCTAGAACATTTCTATGATGACTGAAGCTTAGCAGTCATTTTGCATCATGAGGCCAAGGCCCCCTGTGGGTAGCACTGAGATCTGACCCATAGAACCAAAATGCAAGCCCTGAACATCCTATCTAGACTTTTTTTTTTTTAACATGAAAAATGTATACCTCTTCCTTTAAATTAATTAATTACATTTTTGCAGTACTGCTGTTGGAACCCAGTGCCTCACCCTTGCTAGGCAAGTGCTGTATCACTGAAATACACAGGCCCCCTCCTGGCCCCACTGTCTTTTTTTTTAAAGTCGTGGTTACTTTGAATATTTTCGCATTTACAATAAACCTTAATTGCATTCATTGGGTGTTACAAGATAACTTAGCACAGCCACATTTCTTACTAACTATGGATTCATTTTAATAGGAATTTTTAAAATAAAACAAGCACATCAAACCTGTGATTTCATATAATTTATTGCTTCAGTCAAGGCGTAAGTAATTATTTTGATTTTTAAAAAAGGCAAATCAATCTAAGGAAAATGTTGGAAGAAGCAATCTGGAATATAATCACAAAAGCCCGTGGGTTTCCGAATGACTGAAGTTTGGCAAACACTAGCCTAAGAAAAGCGAGACTTAGAAATACAGCTGCACAAAGGACAGAGAACTGAGGTCAAGACAGCGGCAATGTTTTTCCTGGCTGAGCGACACTCTAGCCTTTGGCTTCCCAGGCAGCCCCTCACACACTGTGGTCATCAGCTGCTCCTCACACCTCCCCTCCACCCTCCCTGTGTGGACTTTTGGAGGGTGGGGATACCTTCAATGCCTGGCATGGTGTACGACACTACATAAATGGCCATAATTGATTGATTGACAATGAATGGCTCTCTAGGTCCTCCCCTTCCTTGTCACTTGGCAGTCATTGAAGTGAGAAGCTGTGGAGGACACTTCGGACCGAGTGGAGAGATTAGTCCTCATGGCAGTGAAGTGGGAAAGTGATGGAGTGAGGCAGGAGAGAAGCAAGGACGGGAGAAAACAGGTGTTGGAAATAAGGAAACAGGATTAGAGAAGACCTTGTTGGACCTGTTAGGATGGGTGGATGAGTGGATTGATGGGCGGATGGATGAATGAAGAAAGGAAGACATGACATCATTTTGGTGTTCATAGCACACATACCAGTATGGGAAAGAGGACCTGGGGCAAAGTGGTTTCAGAAAAACGTATTTACAAACCTGCTTCCATCCCACCCAAACCTTAGTCTTGGCACATGCAGATGCCTACTGTGGCTCATGTGGATGAGCCATGTCAGTCACGTTGGTGGAATAACAAGGATGAGCCACCGAGGCATCCCAAGTAGCTGAGCTGCTCACTGCCACATAAAGATGAGGACCAGCATTCCTGAATCTGATTTCTTAAAGAAAGGCCTTAAATCAGAATTCCAAAGTTATGCAGGCCCAAACAAAGACTTTTGTAGCACTTCCCAGAGCCTCGGGAGTCTGTGGGCTACCATGATGTTTATCATTTCTGCCTTCTGTGTAGCAATGTAAGGGCAGCACAGGCAAATGGCAGGTTGCTTAGAGGAGAGACAGGTCCTACCAGCCATGCTGTATCCCAGGCTACTCTAATGTGCAGGCTCATCATTGAGCACGACCTATGGGTATGCATTGTAGAAGGAGCACTGTAGGTCCTCCCCCAGGGATCTAAGATGGTGCGTGTTCCAGAAAGACATGTTCAAGCAAGAGCATCCTCCTCTGTAGAGACCTATAGGCCATCCTAGCTGCAGGTCCCCACCAGGAAAAAAGGCCACAGATGTTAGTGCAGTTGGGATCCTCTCAAGGGCTCTAAAAGCAAAAGCTATTATCACACCAAGAGAAAAATATTTGAATGATTTTCATTAAAAAAAAAACACAATTTTTTGGAAAAAGAAATATTTTTTTTTCCTCTTTCCACTCACCTTTGCGTACTTAGCTATTTCCAGGTGAGCTGTTTAGATGCCATGAAATGCAGCTTTGCTCCTCTGCAGCTCTCCCTCCCTATGTAACTGCAGAAAGGTCTTGGCCTTGGAGTGAAACCCAGGCCTTTAAAGAACACCCTTGACCCTCTTCTCTTTCCCCAGAGACATGTTGTACTTTTTCCTGAGGCCAGTGAGTGGAACTTCTTCCCGTGTACTGTGTCGATGGCTTTTCTCAGCCTCCAGCATGGCCAATGGCTGGGCTAGTTATCACATCCCCATCCCAGTTTATACGCATCTGTCGATAAAACAGCCTGAACAGCCAGATGAGGATGAGCTCTGGAGTAGTCCAATCAATTGCTTAATGATTGGGCCGTATCGACCAGAAATGGTTAATTCAGTTCCACAAGTTGATATTTCCCAGAGCTTCTTAGAAAAATGTTTGATGTTCGACAAAAGCGATGGAGAGTGTAAGCCCAGATAAACCAGGTCTGTCATTGTCATAATGAACAGAGACCATAATGTCTTCTGCTTAGGTCCTGGAGATTCTATGTAAACTTTTTTTCTCCTAACTGTGTAGAGATGATTGTGTGCTAACACCCAAATCCACAAAGTCACTTACAATCCACATCTTCAGTCACAGAACAGAGGGAAGGAGGCTGTGTCTGACTCCCGGATTCACAGCCTTGCAGTATATTGGGGCAATTGAGAGCCAGGAGGGCAGTAGGTGACTCTGTGCCTCACTGAGGAAAAAATAAACATTGACACAGGAGCTCCTAAGAAGCCAAGAGGCAAAATGGCCTCACGTGCATTCTTTGTGTGAACTCACCAAGAAGAAGCACAAGAAGCATCCAGAGACTTTGGTTGACTTTCTGGAATTTTCTAAGTGCTCAGAGAGGCAGAAGCATGAGGAGGGAGGAAAACCAGAAGACTTGGCAAAAGTGGACAAGACCCACTGTGAAACACAAATGAAAACCTGAGTCCCTTCTGGAAGGAAGCAAAAAATGAATAAATTCAAGAATCCCAGTGTACCCAAGAGGCCTTTCCCTTGTTCTGTCTTGAGTGTTGCCCCCAAACCAAAGGAGGACATCCCGGCCTGTCCACTGGTGACGTCTCTCTCAGAGACGGAGAATAGCACTTCTGCTGACTGGAAAGAAGGCTGCTGAGCTGGCCGAAATCTCCAACAGGGATATTGCTGCCTACGGAGCTAGAGGAAAGCCGGATGCCGCATAAAAGGGAATCAGCAAGGCTGGAAAAGAGCAAGAAAAAGGAAAAGGAGGAATCTCAGGAAGATGAGAAGGAAGGGAAGATGAAAATGACGGTGACACATAAGTTGATTTGTGTTGTTTGTGTTTTTCTGTCTATAAAGCATTCAGCCCTCCTGCACATATTTCACTCCTTGTAAAGAAAAATACTGAAATGTAAGATTGTTTAAGATTTAATTTTTCAACTGTGCAGTATCTTTTTTTTTTTTTTTATTCTTTTGTAAACTTAACCCACTACCAAATGTGCATCTTGTCCTGAAGGGATTTCCAACAGGCACTGACTTTGCCGGCATGGAAATCGACAGCAGGTTTTTGCTGTTGTACAAGACAAATTGTTTATATATGAGGATGGTTGTGTTTCATTTTTTCATCTTTGCCCGTCTCTGGTGGAGCATAGGAAAAAATTGTTCTGTTCACGGAATACCGCTCTATAATTGCAACAACAAAAAAACAAAAACAAGTCTGCAGCTGTTTTGCAAGCGCTCTGAGTGCTTCTAAGTAAATATGATATTTTTAAAATTAGTATTGTACTGTCCGTAGGTCTGAAGATTTTCTTAAGGGGAAGCTAGTCTTTTGCTTTTGCTCATTTTGGATTTTAAGAGTTATTATAGTCTTTTTATCAAGTTAGTTAGTTCTTGATATACCCTGCAAATCATGAGAGCAATAACTAGTTAAACTGAGGCTATCCATTGTTACTATGTTCTTTATCTGACCAGCTTTCCTGAAAATTTCTGGGTAACTCAGCTATGTAGGTACCTAGTGACTCCATAGCTTCCTTTTTTTGAATGTGAATCAGAAAAGAATTTAAAACTATTCTAAACAGAAACTGTAAGTGTTCCTTTCTTCCACATCCTTGCCAACACTTATTACTATTTATGTTCTTGATGGGTTTGATTTCCCTGGTTGCTGGTGATGTTAAACACTTTTTTCCTATGTTTATAAGCCATTTGCATTTTTTTCTTTTGAGAAATGTTTGTTCGGTTCATTTGCCCAATTGTCAGTTACATTATTTGGTTTGGGCTCCACCCCCCACTGCTGTGTGTGTGTGTGTGTGTGTGTGTGTGTGTGTGTGTGTGTGTGTGTGTTAGTTCTTTATATGTTTTGGATGTTACTCCTCTGTCAGACAAGTAACTAGCACCGATTTTCTCCCATTCTGTAGGCTCACTCTTCATCTCTTACACATTTTCTTTGCTGTGCAAAAGATTTTTAATAACATTCCTGTTAGTGATTCTTGGTTTTATTTCTTATGCTTGAGGGGTCTTATGAAGAAATTCTGTGCCTATACCTATATGCTAGAATGTTGACTCTATTTTTTTCTATAGTTGCAATTTCTGGCCTGATTCCTAGGTCTTTCATCCATTTTGAGTTGGCTTTTGTGCAGGGTGATAGATAGGGATTTAGTTTCATTCTTATACAAATGGCTATCCAGTTTCCCCGGCACCATGTGTTAAAAAGGATATGTTTTCTTCACTTTGTGTTTTTGGCACCTTTGTCAAAGATGAGATGACTACATCTGTGTGGGTTTATCTGCATGTCTTCTCTTCTGTCCCACTGATCTAAATGTGTGTTGTTATGCCTGTACCATGCTGTTTTATTGCTGTAGCTCTGTAGTATAATTTGAAGTTGGGTACAGTGATACTTTCAGCTTTGTTCTTATCGCTCAGAATTACTTTGTCTATTCTGGGTCTTTCATTTTCCCACATGAATTTTCAGATTATTCCTTCTTGTTTTGCAAAGGATTTCACTAAAATTTTTATGGAGATTACATCAACTCTACAGATCACTTTTGGTCACATGACCATTTTGGCAATATTAATTCTGCTTGGTACACGGTAGGTATTTTCATCTTCTAATATCATCTTCCATTTCTTCAGTGTTCTGTAATGTTCATTGCAGAGGTCTTTCACCTCCTTGGTTATATTTATTCCCAGGTATTTTATTTTTTATTGCCTTCCAACATAATTCACAATAGCCAGGCTACAGAACCAGCCTATGTGTCTATCAACAACAGCCATAATGGAGAATGAAATTATGTCATTTGCATGAAAATAGATGGAACCGAGAATATCATGCTGAGTGAAATAAGCCAAACTCATAAAGCCAAGGATCAAATATTTTCCCTCATTTGCAGTAGCTAGAGAGAAAAAAGTAGGGAGATCTCATGAAAATAGAAGGGAGACCAGTGGAGGACAGGTAAGGTGTCAAGGAGGATAGAGGAAGTGAGGGAACAGGGAAGAGCCGGGGAATAAAATCAACAAAATTATGCTGGATGCATGTGTGAATATACCCCGATGAATCCCACTTTTATGTGATGCATCAGTGAAAAAAAATATACATGTAAATAAATAGAAGGAAAACCAGAAGAGAAAAGGAAGGGGAACTGGGGAAGAGAAGAGGTGAAGAAAAAGGAGTGCACCAGGAAATGAATTGGAGCAAATCATGTGCATATATGAATATGTCACAGTGACCTCCACCATTATGTATAATTACAGTGCACTAAAATAAAATTAAAAAGAAAGCCTTTGAACTTAAAAAGTCAAAATGTTAATTTGCCAGAAACAAACAAGATCTCAGGAACCATTGAGTAAAGTGTGAACAGAAGCTGAACTACTTGGGGGATGTGAGTGGTAAATGGCTGAGCACCCAGCATGAAGCAGAACACAAAGGAAATGGGTGTCTGCATTCCAGTGGTCACTCCAGGGGCGTCCAGTGAGTGCTTTAAAAAATCACGACCAAAATAAGCAAGGATTGAGGAAGAACCTTGCAAGTAGGATTTTTCACTGGGTAGATTTTGTGAGTCAAATATTTTCTCTTAGAGGAAAATGTTCCTTCTCACAGCCCTCTAAAACGCAGGGTATCTAACACCAGCTTTACCAGATAGCAGCCACTTCCTATTAATTACCCATACCTGCTTCAGAGGCTGAGCTGAAGGTCTATAAGCAGAGCAGACCAAGGACATTTTGGAAACTGCTGGTCAACTTCTTTCTAACTTTTGTTTGGTTCTAAATGCCCTCTGATCAGAGTCAGAGTTGGAATAGGAGACCTCCTGCTTCTGAGTCTGGGAACCCTGTTTAACCCCTGGCTAAGCGTGTAGCTTTATGTATATTCAGTTCATTTATTTGGCAAGCTGAGAGCAGTCTGCTGTTGCAGACAGACACAAGAGAAGCTGTTCTTAAAATGGGGAGGACTCTGCTGCTCCTCATGGTACTGCCCCAGCAATCCCAGGTAGGGGGAGCATCATTTAATGAGCCTTCCCCGCCCCCTGCCTTGGTTCTGGGGATTGAACTCAGGGGCACTTAACCACTGAGCCACATCCCCAGCCCTTTTATGTATTTTTTTAGAGACAGAGTCTCACTGAATTTCAGAGTGTCTTACTAGGTTGCTGAGACTGACTTTGAACTTGTGATCCTCCTGCCTCAGCCTCCCCAGTCACTGGAATCACAGGCACACACCACTGCACCTGGCAATTAGCACCCTTTTCAAGTTGTCACTATGAACTACCACTGAAGCAGCAATAAGATTGAGAAGGAGTCCTTAGTGGTCAACTTTTTGATTTGATTTCAAGGCTAGCTTTCTTTTTTATAATTAATTTGTTTTATTTATATATGACAGCGGAATGCATTACAATTCATATTACACATATAGAGCACAATTTTTCATATCTCTGGTTGTATATTCACACCAATTCGTGAAGGCTAGCTTTCTTATGATGACAGAGCCCAAGAGTTCTTTCTTGAGGGGCGGGGCTTGGGTAGGCCAAATACAGATCCAGAAGCTTCTTTCTTTTGTACATAAAAATGGCTGCCCCCAACAAATTCTGGGAATATTGGCAACAACAGTTTGCCACAGAGACTGTCCCCTTCTGGACAAGGAGCCCCACATGTTTTTCCATTTCCAGTGGCAGTAGTGGGGAGCGTAAAAGAAATAAAACTGCAGGTCTCATAGGTCACTGCTTTGCAAACTGTTTAATATGATGAGAAAAGGGGTTATCAAGGTGCCATTTTTGCTAGGAACTGGGTGAAGCCGTGGAGAGTTCCAAAGCCAGCAAAAGAAATAATTTTCAAAAGCATCAAACTTAAGTCTTTGACTTCCCCCAGACACTGTGCATCCCTAGAAGTATTTCAGGAAATTAAGGGCCACTTGATTCTCTAATGACTTGTGTTGGGCTTAATGGGCAGGGGCTCTGGGTATATGGTGGGCTGTAGTCCAGGGCAAGGAGCTCATTCTTGAGGGAAGTGTATTTCCCTAGACCTCCGTCTTGGATACAGACAATAAAGAGTATCCAATGGGCAACACAAGGCAGAGGCATATAGGCGCCGAGCAGGAAAGAACATGGGAGCACCTGGGTAGTAGGAATACAATCGTACTTTATCCTGTGAGGAAAGCAGAGAGAAAGTGGTGGGAGGGGGCTGTAGATGCCCCAAACCAAGAAGGTGGGAACTTCTGAAGGTGCATAGAAACATGGGGCATTTCAACAATGGAGGAAAGGTGGTGACGAATTAAAGAGGGCCCACTGGTTTCTAACTAAACGAATGTCTCAAGATACATAAGTCCATAATTCCCTGAAACTTTTAGATCTGAGAAGAAGAGACCATCCAGGCCCAGCTGTGTTTGGACTCATCTGGACTGAGGCTGTTGTTGATGTTTCTGTTCAGGAACATCTCAGTAGGCTGACATCTGGGGAGTTGTCCAGATGTCACCCTCCTGAGTTCGACCCTCCCATCAATGCCACTGCATCCATTCAGGATTCCATCAATGCCACTGCATCCATTCAGGATTCCATGTCCTTGAGTAACTACGGAGGCCAGCAGTACTCGGACAGAGTGCCATGATATGCCTTCCAGCACTGAGTCCATGCTGCAGGAGCTCAGCAAGACTCTTGAAACTCGACTATCATGCAAGCCTTTCTTATTATTCATAATGGCATCCTCCCTTCCTTAGGACATTTGGGACATTTTTTGCAGAGTTTTGCCACCTATTTGTTTAGCAGAATTACATTCTTATATTTATAAAAGACCATTCAGAGCCAGATAGTATAGAATGTATACATTGCAATGTGCAACTCATTCAGTGAATGTTTGCAAGATGCCCGTTGTATGCAGTTGTTAAGCTGGCTGCCCATGGAGCGATCCCACACAGATGTGAACAGATCCCTCCAGTAAGAGGAATCCATTCATCCATCACCTTCCTGAACTCATCCCAACTATCCCTCTTTTGGGGATCTTCATCCCACCTCCCTAAGTGGTCCAGGTATACTCTGTTGCATTTCTTGCACTTGCTATTCTCTCTCTGGAATGCTTCCCCTCTCCCCCAAAATATCCACATGGCTCTCTCCCTCCCTTCCCTTGAAGGCTCACTAAGTCACTGCCTCAGGACTGAGCCCTTCATTGTCCACTCTTTCCCCAACACTCTTCCCACTATCCCTGCTTCATTTACAATTTTTGGCTAAGCAATCATCATGTGCTGTATTCCCTAATCATCTCAAGAACGCAACTCCACGGTAGTAGGGATGTTTGTTTATTTCAATCACGGCTATTTTCCCAGGACCCAGGAGAGTGCTGGGGCCATAGTGGGTACAGAACAAATATCAGTGGAATTAATAGTTGAATGAAGAACAAGGTAAGCAGTTAAGCAAGAAATTAGGCTACATTCTGTTCAGGTGATAGACAGTAACTGACACAGCTGAGTGTCATGTTGATCCTAACATAGTCTCTCGCCATTATATTCGTCTTCCAATACTTCAGTGGCCCTTAGGGCTTTACCTCTGTCTTTATCTACAAGTCTTGGAAGGTGCACACCTACAGGGAACACCCCTTTTTCCTCCCCTGTGTACACAAATGGCATCCATTAGTAATACAAGGAACAGCAAACTCACATCCAGAGGAGACTGAAGCCTGTATAATCAAAGTGGCTCAGACCCCAAAGAAGTTTCCTGTTCCAAGACAATTAGCATGCAAATAAAGTAAGAGTGAAAATACCAATGTTCTTGGTTATTGGAAGACTGCATCAAGTTTTGGGCGATTGTTACTATGGATATTGTTCTCCAGGTAAGACAGCATTTATTCAGTTTTCAGTGAAAAGGTAGCAGATCCAAACACCAAAAGAGATTCAATTAAGCATCAGAACAACTGCAAAGGCCATGTCGCAACACCGAGGTGGCCTGTTTTTCTGGTCATTATTAATCCAGAAACCTTAATGATGAACAACATTTGTGTTATTGTCTACCCAAATTTAATTTGTTTATGCAGCAGTTCAGTTAATCCTGCAATCTGTTTTTCTCAAACGAGGGCAGATAATGGAGACACCGTTCTTTACAAGTCTTCAGGCTTTTAAATTCTGATAAAATCAGGATTCTTCACTGGGTCTTGCCCCAGCTCTGAATTAAACCACTTTAAATGTAATTATAGAACCTGGCCTTACATCAGGAACATCCATTTAAAAAATTGATTGGCCAGACTTTTCCACGAGGCATTTTATGAGCAAACGATTGCAATGGGGCCAGAGCTGTAATTTATCAAGGCAAAAAAGCAGGTAAATACTTTATTAGTGGTAATGAGAGAGTTGCCAGCTAACTGAATCTCTTCTTCCCTCACCAGCTACTTCACGGAGCCGTGGTGCATGGCCCTCTTCCACGATCGTTTTATTGATCTCAGGAAAGAGTTACGCCAAATCTTAGCCTCCAAGGAGGTAGGAGTGATTAATGGACATGTGGATTATTCTTTACAAATTACAAGCAGTTGATAGTTGTTGATCATTTGGATTTTCCCCTACATTCCCATTGTATGGCTTTACTTTTTAAGTCAAACTGCAGTTCATGTAAACATACTATGGAGCATGGAAATGTAGACAGTGGTGTGTTCTCGGGAGAGTGAGTTTGCCCAAATCCTGTTATGGGGAAGCACGTTTCTTTTTACAAGTAGCTGTATTTTCATGCTCAACTATCGTGTTGGCTGAAAATTGGATATGAGTTGTATTTATCTGTCCTCAAGAGTGAGAATGAAATTCCTTCAGTTTCTGTCTGCCCTTGGCTGAACGTTTGTCTCTGTGCTGTTTTAAAGATATAAAGAGAAGTCATCAGGTATCACACTCCCTTTATAAACTGAGACATCTTTCCCAAAGTGATACAGAATTAACTGGAAGTTACGCCACATACCACAAAGTTTCCAGGCTTAGTAAGAAATGTGACTCTCCAAAGAAAAAAGAAGGTTATCTGTGAAACTTTGGATTGTTTCTTTCAATACGAGAGTCCTTGGCATTGCTGTAAAATGTTAATAGAGAGAGCTGTCGAATATCTATCCCAGACTCTATCTTAATTCACACAGACAGGGGCTGGGGCTCTGGTTAATTTCCACCTTGATTTAACATCTAAGTGGGCACCTTCTATGGCTCTATTGTCACGTCCACTTGGGAGCATCCATCGCCTTGAAGTTTCCCATGGAGGTTACCACAGTGGACAACACAGAGAGATATCATGGACCCAGGGTCCCTACTGCATTCCAGCCAAGCATGCACTGCCTCTCATAACACAACGGAACCAAACTGTTAACCAAGAGTTTAAAGATTTTAAATAACCCACTGCGGGTTCCACAGCTAGTCACAACAATTATCAAATTCGAGATTCTCTGGGAACATGGGCACTGAGCCATACAGGGCCAAACTGTGTGTCTTACCGCCTTCTCTGCAACAGCCCCCTTTTCAGTGTGACTCCTTGGACCCAAACTGGGAAGCGTAAACAATTTACTAATCTGAAGTGGATTCAGATTAATTCTGAAGTTTCAACCACACTGACACGCTTTAGGGTCCACACAGGTAAAAACCCAGTAGGTAAATGGAAATGAGGGAAGTGGAGGATACTGTGGCTAAATGCAAAAGTCAGATGCTGCATAAGTTATTCAGATTGAAATGTATAAACAGACATCCCTCAGATCCCTGGGGACTGGTTCCAGGTCCCCAGCAATTATGAAAATCCTTTCTGCTCAAATTCCATATATAAAATTGTGTGACAATTGCCTAGAACCTACACATATCCTCCCACATGCTCTAAATCATCTCTAGATTACTTTTAGTGCCTAATACAATGTAAATAGTTCCTGTACTATTTAGGGAATTATGACAAGAAAAAAAAGCCCATACATTTAGTAGAGGCAAAATGTTTTTCCCAAATAGTTTTCACTATGGTTGGTTGAATCCACAGGTGTGGAACCTGTAGATACGATGGGCCAACTGTAGATGTTAAAGATGCTACAGGACAATCCCCTGCATGTCACCCTGGGGCTGCAAGGAGGTCAGCTCTGGTTGAAATCTTGACCCCAAATGTAAGCCTAGTGCTTACTGAACTTTGCTCAACTCCTCAGACACCTCCCTTCCTCTCAAAATGTGATATGCAGTTTGCTCCGGCCTCTATCATAAAGACGCATTCATTTGCTAGTGATTGCATCAAAACTCTGTGCCTAAGTCTTTATTACCTCTAGATCTGAGTTCCTCAATTAATATTTTGCACAGAGGCAAGGGGTTTTAGAATAAGCAGAGTGTCTTATTGTTAGGAGAACACTAATTTCCTAAGTAATTACTGAAAACCATAGGATTCTTAAAATAATCTTATCAGAATTGTTACACAGCCCTCTCTTTCTAAATAAAATTCAATTTCCTAAAATGTTAATTTGCCATGGATTTAGAGAAAAGAGGAAGGGCATGGGGTGAAATGAGGAACACTGAGGACTTCTTAGGGCAGTGAAACTCTATGATATCATAGGATGGACATGTGTCAATTAGACTTTTCTCAAAACCCACAGGATGTACAACACAAAGAATGCACCCTAATGTAAACTATGGACTTTAGTTAATTATCATGCATCAGTATGGGGTCATCAATTATTTTTTTTTCAAAAGAAGATTTCTTTTCACCATCCCAAGTAAACTGTCAAATCCAGTGGCATCTATCATTTTTGATGGGTCTTCCTGAGCCACCCTGAAACTTTTATCCATGAGCTACCATTTGGTATGGGTCAGTTTGCTATGAATGAACTCAGTGTGGACCACAGGCCCAGTCAGTAGAGGAATGGCTATAGACATCTGCCAAAGACACACTGAGGACTCCACAACCATTCTTGTGGATTTTCTAGATTCCTAGAAAGTGAAACCTTTGGAAGAAAAACCTCCACTGGGGGACTGTTTTGCTTTCAGCATTTCCATTTGTCAAATGGGAAGAAGGCCCACGTGAAGAGGTGGCACCTGGTGTAGTGTCTGCTGCTTGCCTGGTTGGACCAAGTAGGGTGGCTCTGTCAGATTCCTGTGGAATAAAGGCTAGCTGTTCCCACCTCCCCAAGAGCTAAGGAAGGAGTTACAGAAGGGATGTGCACAAGCACGTGGCACAGAAGACTCACTCAGCAAATCCTAGCTGTCACCAGCACCAGTGGTAGTGATGGTGACAGTGGAGGCAGCTGTCAGTGAAAACAATGGCACATGAAAAGACAAGCAGAAATTTCATTTAAGATTCTGCTGATGGAAAATTAAAATCTAATGGCATCTATCATCTATGCCCTAAAGAAGAAGAAGAATCCCTTTTCTCAAATATCAAGATGATAACAATTTCAGAGAAGTATGGACACTCAGCAGTAACATCCCAGAGGTTGGCATTTCAATTTTCCTCTCCCTCCACATGTAAGAAAAAGGATAAAAGAAAGATGGTTATCTATGACTATTAGAAATCATCTCAAATCTACATATTTTTAAAATTTATTATGATATCCAAAATCCTGCTGTGAAGGTCAAGAGAGAAACAGATTATAAATTCAGTGACACTACATTTTAGCTGCACATGAACCCTGTTGTCACTGACCAAGGTGAAATTTCTGCATAGTCAAAATCATCCTTTAAAGTCCTTTAAGAAAGTTATAATAATTATAAACATACACACACTAAATGATAGAACCCCAAAACATAGAAGCAAAAGTCAACAGACTTGAAGGAAGAAAGAGGCTGTTAGAAATGAGAACTGGAGATTTCAATATCCCATTTAAACAATGGACAGAATGACCAGCTAGATCAGTAAGGAAAAGAGGACTATAAACCAACTGGACATAGCAGATGTGTACAGAATATCCCATGCAAAAAGAGCAGAATGCACATTCTTCTCAAGTGCATGCAGGACGTTTTCCAGAACAGGCCATATGTGTGGCCACAAAACGTCTGTCAATAAATTTTAAAATACATAAATTATACAAAGTGTATTCTCCAACCACAGTGGAATGAAACTAGATACTGGAACGACAGAAGGAAAACTGGAAAATTCACCAATTTGTGGAAATTAAGTAATGCAGTTTTAAGCAAACCAAAAGAAATATTAGTAATAGATATGAATGAAAAAATACAATGTGTATAAAAATGTATGAAGTTCAGCAAAAGCAATTTGCAGAAGGAAATTTATAGTTATAAATGTTTACATTTTTTAAAAAAGAAAGATTACAGATCAATAATCTAATTTTAAAGCTTATAAAACAAGAATAAGAATTAAACTTAATGTAAGTAGAATAAAGATTAGAGCAGAGGGCTGGGTTGTAGTTCAGTGGTAGAGAGCTCGCCTTGCATTCAGGAGGCACTGGGTTCGATCCTCAGCACCACATAAAAAATAAAATAAATTTATTGTATCTATCTACAACTAAAAAAATTTTTTAAAGATTAGAGCACAGACAAATGAAACAAAGAATAAAAAAATAATAGTGAGAATAAATTAAAACCAAATTTGGTACTTTGAAAAAAATCAAGAAAATTGATAAACCTTCGGCTAGACTTAGAAAAAAAGACTTAAATTACCAAATCAGAAATGAAAGTGATGACATTACCTTAAAAAAATAAAACCTTTAAAAAACATAAAAAAGATTATAATAAAATATTATAATCATGCCAACTAATTAGTAAATACCTAGATGAAATTGACAAATTCCTACAAACTGACTGAAAAAGAAATAGGAAATCACAAGACCTATAAAAAAAATCAAGAAATTGAATCAATAATCAAAAATCCCCCAACAAAGAATAACCCAGGACTAGATGTCTTCATTAGTGAATTCTACCAAACATCTAAAGAAGAATTAACATCAGTCCTTCTTGAACTCTTCCAAAAAATACAGAAGGAAGGAACCATACTCTGAGACCATTACCCAAAGTCAGAAAAAGACAACACACAAAAAAAGGAAATTACAGGCCAATATCCCTTATGATTTATATATAAAAATCTTCAACAGAATATTAGCAAATCAAATTGAACAGTCTGTTAAAAGGACTATACACCATGACCATATGAGATTTGCCCCAGGACTGTAAAAGTAGCTCAACATATGAAAATGAATCAAAGTGGGGACTGGGGATATAGCTCAGTTGGTAGAGTGCTTGCCTTGCATGCACAAGGCCCTGGGTTCAATCCCCAGCACCAAAAAAAAAAAAAAAAAGAAGAAGAAGAAAATGAATCAAAGTGATATACTACTTTAATAAAATGAAGGGGGGAATAGTATGTTCTCAGTTGATGCAGAAAAAGCATTTGAAAAAAACCAAACACATTTTCATAATTAAAACACACATACAAACCCACAGCAATATAAGGTAACTTCCCCTATCTGATAAGATAATTCTGAAAAATTATCTTATTGTGGCTCAGTGGTAGAGTGCTCGCCTAGCTCATGTGAGGCCCT